GCCTGAGCAATATAGTTGGACCCCATCTCCACAAAAAATACAAAAATTAGCCGGGTATGGTGGTGCATGTCTGTAGTCCTAGCTACCTGGGAGGCTGAAGTGTGAGGATGGCTTGAGCCCAGGAGGTCGAGGCTGCAGTAAGCTATGATCACACCACTACAGCCCAAACTGGGTGAGAGAGTGAGACCCCATCTCAAAACACAAACAGAAAAATGGCAAAAATACTCCTAGGCAGACCAAATAATGTTCTCTGTGTGAGTGCTCGCAAATTGTATCTACGGTATTATTATAATCTCATCTAGTGGGTTCAAGTTTAGATTCTAAACCAGGCACAGTACAAAACTAATTTAAGGGACCAATACAGCGTTTTTAATCTTTTTATTTTGTTAACTTAAAAACCTTTTTTAAAGCCATAGCTATTATCACCATTTAACAAAAAAACCTACCTATAACCAAGTAAGTTAGAAGAACATAATCTCAGAATAAAAGACAATCTTTTAAATCAAATAAATTTAGCTTTATTAAAGAAAGCTACACTCCTTAATTTTCTCATTTTGACCAGAGGCTGGTAAAAACTTCATCCAACTCTGATGCCAGGCACTGGCTAGAATCTGGAAACCAGTGATCCAAGTCATAGTCTTCTACCTTGTCAGCAGGCAGCATGGAGCTCACCCCAGCCTTGCTGTGACACAGGCAAACGACACCTCCAGCACTCTCCCTATTCAGCACAGACCTGGCACCCAGGAGATACTCACACCCTCACCGAACCAATCCACCAGTCCAGCAGCTAAACAGGGTACAGTCTGGCATTACATGCTCTTAATAAATACATGCTGGACACACACACTTTATAATTTTCAAGTACTGGATTTTACACATATACAATATAATCACTGAAAGAATGAGATTCGCGTAATGAGGGGAAGATAAAGAGAAAGCCTACACAAAAGCTGACTACTTTGACAAGTACTCTATTTCAATGCCAGGCTCAGATGTAATTCTCTTGAAATATTTGGCATAAAATAATGCAGTCTTTCCTTTACTCCTAAATCTGAAAGTCAGTCAGTCTGTGTGTGTGCATGGCCAAGGTAACAGTTTAAGCAGGTGGTCTGAGGGGTCCTTTCATTCAGTCATTCAGTAAACGTCTAAGTGTCTGTCACATTCCTGGCACTTTGCAAGACATTGGGACCGCAAAGCTAAAGTAGGTCCAATCTCCATGTCAAAGATTTTTATGAATCAGGAAGCCTGCAAATTACTAACACAAACCACAATCTAAATTAAACTACTAGTCATTTTCTTCTGTTTTCTTTACTTAGTAAAAGAGGAGGATCATTCTGAATTTAGCCTCACGTTCCGACAGTGCACACGGTGACAGCACACAAATAACTGATTTTGTGTTCTAATTTTCATCTGCTTATTGAATTAAAAGTTCAAACTTGGGGCAAGGGAAGTAGGGTACCCTTGAACTGAAGGCATCATGCCAAGGCACAGCATGCATACCGTATCCCTGAACAATTATTTCCTTTTTAAATTTTACTTTAAGTTCTGGGATACATGTGAAGAACGTGCAGGACTGTTACAGAGGTATACATGTGCCACAGTGGTTTGCTTCACTACCAGCCATTATCTAGGTTTTAAGCCCTGCACGCATTAGGTATTTGCCCTAATGCTCTCCCTCCCCTTGCCCCTCATCCCCCAACAGGCCCCAATGTGTGATGTTGCCCTTGCCATGTCCATGTTGAACAATAACTTCTGTGTCCTTGTATATAGCCACAGGTGACGTGGCCAAGTTTTCTATTGATTTTGGATAGTAACGAAGACCAGAACTATATTTACTCTCGCTGAGTAAAAGCCCTATCCTAGCCTAGGTCTTTAGATCATCAGTTACTTCAGTTACTTTCCACTTGCCTTCCAGATTTCATGGGTAGAGCAGTAGGCTGCAGGCCAACAAAGAGCAAATGGTGGCAGTGAGAGATGTTGACAGGGGAGGTGAAGCGGGAAACAGAGAACACATCAGGGCGGCCAGACAGAACACAGCCAGGATGGGTGCAGGAAGGCCAGAATGAGAGAGGGTAAGAACAGAAAGGGAGAGGAAGGGGGCAAAAGACATCCTAACTCAGGACTGGCTAAATGGTAAGGATAAGTCAGGTACAAACAGAATGCTAGGTGATAGAGCTATCATGTATGCATGCACAGATTTCAGCAATGATTTGGCCACCAATGCAAGAAAAATTAACATAGGTCAGAGAACTCATTAGGCTCAGACTTAGTGTTACAGCTCTTTTAGAATTTGTCTAAAAGCAATTCAGATTTAGCTACTATTTCTGGGACAAGAAAAGCACAGCCAGAAACTGGGTTTAAAATTTCCCAGAGAACTCAGACTTTTCAGCAGAAAGGTAAGCATTTAGTAATTTTTTTTTTTTTTTTTTTGAGACGGAGTTTCGCTCTTGTTACCCAGGCTGGAGTGCAATGGCACGATCTCGGCTCACCGCAACCTCTGCCTTCTGGGTTCAAGCAATTCTCCTGCCTCAGCCTCCTGAGTAGCTAGGACTACAGATGTGCCACCACACGCAGCTAATTTTTCTATTTTTAGTAGAGACGGGGTTTCACCATGTTGACCAGGATGGTCTCGATCTCTTGACCTCGTGATCCACCCGTCTCAGCCTCCCAAAGTGCTGGGATTACAGGCTTGAGCCACCGTGCCTGGCCAAGCATTTAGTAATTTTATAAAATGAATAACCCTTCAGTGAGAAAGTTCTTCAAGCTTATGCATACTTAGTAATACTTTTTATTAGCATATCTTAAATTTAAAAGCTAATTTTTAAAAAGTGGCCAGGCATGTTGGCTCACGCCTGTAATCCCAGCACTTCAGGAGGCCGAGGCAGGCGGATTACCTGAGGTCAGGAGTTTAAGACCAACCTGGCCATCAGGCAGAAACCCTGTCTCTACTAAAAATCCAAAAATTAGCCAGGCATGGTGGCAGGCACCTGTAATCCCATTAGGGATTACACAGGTGAGGGAGGAGAATTGCTGAACCTGGGAGGCAGAGGTTGCAGTGAGCTGAGATCATGCCACTGTACTCAAGCCTCAGTGACAAGAGACTGTCTCAAATTAATAAAATTAATTAATTAATAAGCAAGCACTGGCATTTATAGCTAAGACCACGTTGTTTCTGAGTGTGAAATCATAGTATGCAGTGTGGAGGAATCAAAGCCTAAGAACCAGGCCTGTTCAAAGAAAAGTCAAAATTGAATAGCTCATATGCACTCATTCAAGATGAGTACTGCTTCCCATCCCTGCATTTTAAATGGTCACAGTGACTAAGACTAAAACACAGGGAGCAAGGGTTACTTAGCAATTCTATTGTTCACTCTGAGGAAAAGTACAAAGAATTAATTAGTATACACAGTTGAGTGAAGAGCACTAACAAAATCAAGGGAAAATATTTATGACTCCCACAGAAAAGTTTAAAAAGCACTTTTTAAGAGTTAGCATCTACCATATAGAACCAAAGTTTGGTGTTTTTAGTATTTTGTACCTATATAATATTTAAATGTCTTTTTGTTTTTCTTTTGAGACAGAGTCTCACTCTGTCACCCTGGCTGGAGTGCAGCGGCTCAAACCCAGTTTACTTAAATCCCCGTTTCCAGGGTTCAAGTAATTGTCCTGCCCCAGCCTCCCCAGTAGCTGGGATTAGGATTACAGGAGTAATCCCAGCAGATTTTTTGTATTTTAGTAGAGACGGGGTTTCACCATGTTGACCAGAATGGTCTCGATCTCTTGACCTCGTGATCCACCCGTCTCGGCCTCCCAAAGTGCTGGGATTACAGGCTTGAGCCACCGCGCCTGCAGATTTTTGTGTTTTTAGTAGAAACAAGGTTTCACCATGTTGGCCAGGCTGTTCTGGAACTCCTAACCTCAGGCAATCCACCTGCCTCAGCTTCCCAAAGTGCTGGGATTATAAGTGTGAGCCACCACGCCTGGCCTATAATATTTAAAATTTTTAAGTTTCCATATTTGTTCAATTTTTACCTACAAAGTTGTAATTATTTTATTAGATTTGGCTTTAAGTAGTGACTCAGATTTTACAATGCTGATAGCAGCCACACAAACTAGCATTTGATTTCAGGTTTAAAACAGGGCTTCCTAAGTAACTGGCTACTTCCCCTAATAATCTCATTAAACAACGAACTTTTCCTAATTATTATACAATTGTTATACAATTCAAAATACCAATTAAACAGTATTTTGGAGGCTCTAAAACAAACTCCTCTCTACCACAAATCCCTATGCCTATCTCTAAGGTCACCTACGGTAAATTTTGTTCTAAAGCAGTGATTCTCAACTGTGAGATTTTTGTCCCTCAGAAGTGGGGGAGAAAAAAAAAACTGGCAATGACAAGAAGCATTTTGGCTGTGGCAACTAGGTCGCAGCTAGGTGGCGGGGGATAAGGGTACTACTGGCATCTAGTGGGTAGAGGCCATCTTTGCTGCTACACAGAGGAAAGCCTGCCCCTCCAACAATAAATTATCTGGCCCCAAATGTCAATTAAGCGTTTCTGTCGGGAAAAGCCTAGTTCTAATTGAAACAAGCAAATTTGCAAATACAGCTGACAACTTCAAAAAACAATTGCCCAGTAAGTAATTCAGAGTTAGAGACACAGACATAGTAAAGGCCTCTTTTTATACTATCAAAATGCAGTAAAACGAGTTGACTATTAATCATGACTGCGGTAAGCGGCAGACAAACGTGTAGGCGGAGTACTTCTACTACCCAAGCAATCAAACATATACGTCTTTTCAAAAAGAAATAAGGCGATAAAAAAGCAGATGAGGTAATGATATTCTTGACAGTTATTTTTTCTCCTCTCAGGCACTAGATTTTTAACTGGAGAAAGTTTAATGAGAGAAGGGAAGTTAACCACGTGATACTATCGGCAGAATAAACTTAGAGCAAAACACGCTGCTGAAGTATCTGTTAGAATTCTAAGTGATGTTTACCTGGCAAAAGGACTGGCTCCAGTTTTTTAATCTTCGGTTCCGAACTGATCTTATCGTCAGTCTGAAATACATCAGCAAAAGAAATCAGAATCTCAATCCTCCCCACCCTCCGTAGAACACTACAGCAAACGCTGTTTTCTAAGTGATGACACGTGAAAATGCTGTTTTCTAAGTGACGACACGTGAAAGACCCTTACCCTCCCCCCCATTTAAATTCTTTCACCTATTAACTGAGCTCTTTTTGAGTTGTGCTCATTATCGACTTGGAAGGCCGATAATAAAAATCATTTAAACTGCCAGCGTCGCTTCCAGGTGTTCACGTTTGAGTAGCCGCCTCGGCCCGTGGCCCCAAGAGTTGCAATCATGCCGGTGGTCACAGGAGGTGCGGTCGACGGGTTTGAAACTAAAAACACCCAGCTCTCAACGCCCCCCTGGGTCTCAACATTTAGCAAAACTACATAGGACAGGACTTCGGACAGAGAATGGGGGCACAGGAGTTTTACAAGTTTTAGCCGAGCCAGTGGGGGCTCCCGAGAAGGCGCATTTCGCAGCGCCGGGGATTTGACACCCGCGCGGCTGACGGCAGGGAGACGCGCGAAGCCTCCCGGGGTTCTTCGGTTCCTGGGGGTCGGCCTGGAGGCTCCAGGGAAGCGTCCAGGAAAGGGGCGCTCGCGGGAGGTGGGGGGTGGGGGGGTTGTTTACCTGGAGCGGCGGCAGGAGGTAGGACCTGAAGGTGGGTCTGGGGGCCTTGAGGGAGAACATGGTGCCGCCGCCTTTTCGCCCCGTTCCCGTCGCGGGCCAGCTGCAGCGCCGACGCCTCCCGACGCCTCCAGGCGTAGAACTTTCAGTGCCGCCGCTCAGGCCCCTTCTGCGGCCAGCCGAGCCGGGCGAACTGACGGGCGGGGACGCGGCGCAGCGCCCGCCCGAGCGGGGAGGGGCCGGGCACGGCCAGGCCGACGCGGGCGCCGGGGCCCATCCCCGGAAGGGGCCCGGTGCCCCGCCCCGAGAGACGGCGTGCGCAGGGCCACGGCCCGCCACTGCGGCCCATAGCCCGTGCTAGCGCCGGGACGCAGGGGTGGCGCTTAGCGCCCGCCGGCAGGCCCTCAGCCAGGGCGCTCCTGGGAGCGGAGCCCAGCAGCCATCTCGAGAACGCAGCCTCCGGAGGGCGCTCCTACGGCGGCCCGCAGGGGGCTACGGCGGCCCGCAGGGGTCAGGCGGCCGGCAGGGGGCTACGGCGGCCTGCGGGGGCCACGGCGGCCGCGGTAGACGGCTTTGGACGGCGGCGCTGGGCATCCTCTGTTTGGACTGCAGTCCGGGGGCAGTTCCCTTGATTTACTCACAGGCAGACTTCGCCCTCCGGGCCGGGCGAGCATTATTTTGAAGCTCTTGAGGAGGAGCCCGGGGTAGGGGAAGGGGACTCGGGTCACGGGGTCAGGCGGTCACCCCCGTCTACCCCCAGCGTGCTAGGAACCTGCACTGGGAAAGTGGGCCGGTGCCGCCAATGACGACCAGGTTCTGACGTCCAGCGCGGTCCTCACTGTCTATGGTCAAAGCCCTTCCAGGCCGGGCGCGGTGGCTCACGCCTGTAATCCCAACACTTTGGGAGGCCGAGGCGAGTGGATCATGAGGTCAAGAGATCGAGACCATCCTGGCTAACACGGTGAAACCCCGTCTCTGCTAAAATTACAAAAAATAAGCCGGGCGTGTTGGCACGCGCCTGTAGTCCCAGCTACTGGGGAAGCTGAGGCAGGAGAATCGCTTGAATCCAGGAGGCAGAGGTTGCAGCAGTGAGCCGAGATTCCAGCCTGAGTGAGACTTTGTCAAAAAAAAAAAAAAAAAAAAGCCCCTTCACAGCCTCACTCTTGGGGAAGTGTTTCTTCCATCATCCCTTCTGTTGTCCTTGCGCAGAACTTTAAGACAGGGATGTCCTCCCACCAGCTGAGCTGAGCATTGGTTTCTATGGGAGGCTGAGCCTTGCGGTGGGGCCTGGACTCCTCAATGGAGTTAATTTCTACTGTCCTTATCAATGTGAAAAAAGATACTATGCACGTTGCCTTCCTTTCCTTTCTTGCTCGTCCTCACAAAGATGCTAACAAGCAGATAAATGATCAAAAGCCCAGCATGAGGAAGGCCCTAGCAATGTGGGGGGTTCAGTGGACTATGAAAGGGAAAAATCTGCCCATTAATTGCAAAGAACAGACGAATTACAGCATATCAAGGACAGGTCACTTCTGAGCTCTTACGGTAATTCTGACTGGAGCCGACTTTGGAGGGAGGGGGCTAGTGGTGTTACATTTTGTTACTTGAGACTAAGTCCTTATAACTTGAAGAATCAAACCCCAATCCAGCATTTTATGATTAATACCACAGGGAAGCTTCCGTGTAGCCTTATCAGTCACAATCATGCTGATGAGTGCTACTCACAGGAATGTTTAGCAATTTAAATAAAGATTCAGAAAGTTACTCTTGTCCTGAAAACAATTTATCCCGGATTTAGAACCCTACTGATCTTTCAGGTTAACCTGTTTGAATTCCACTCTACCCAGGAACCATAACTGTAATTGTATTTTTTTTAAGAGCCAGAGTCTTACACCATCACCTGGGCTGAAGTGCAGTGGCATGGTCAGAGCCCACTGCTGCTGCCTCGGCCTTCTGGGTTCAAGTGATCCCTGTCTCAGCCTCTCAAGTAGGCGGGACTAGGGGCATAAGCCACCGAGCCTGGCCATAACTGTACTTTAAAATGTTAGTTCCGGCCGGGCGCGGTGGCTCAAGCCTGTAATCCCAGCACTTTGGGAGGCCGAGGCGGGTGGATCACGAGGTCAACAGATCGAGACCATCCTGGTCAACATGGTGAAACCCCGTCTCTACTAAAAATTACAAAAAATGAGCTGGGCACGGTGGCGCGTGCCTGTAATCCCAGCTACTCAGGAGGCTGAGGAAGGAGAATTGCCTGAACCCAGAGGGTGGAGGTTGCGGTGAGCCGAGATCGCGCCATTGCACTCCAGCCTGGGTAACAAGAGCGAAACTCCGTCTCAAAAAAAAATAAATAAATAAAGTTAGTTCCATTGGATTAGAAGTATTAAAAACACTGTTGTGCACACTTTAAAAAAAATTTTTTTATGAACATTGTTATTCCTTTATACTCAATGGATATTTCCTGTAAATGCTCTTCAAGCAATAATCGGCTTTTTCTTTATAGTTAAATGACTCTGTGATTTGGGTTTTTCTGTACAGGTTTTCTTAGGATCTGCAACTCTTAATGTGTGACCTTATAACTGAAAAGCGGAAAAACTCTGATTTCCAGATTTGTTATTGTCTTAACAATAAATTTTATGACATTTCCAGGTATCTGGTTGTATTAGTCTGCTCAGACTGCCATAACAAAATACCACAGGTTGGTGACCTAAAGAACAGACATAAATTTCTCCCAATTCTGGAGTCTGGGAAGTCCAAGATGAAGGTGCTAGCAAGGTAGGGTTCTGCCTGACTTGTGGCAGGCAGACAGGCAGGGTTCTCTGCCAGACTTGCAGGTGGCTGCCTTCTCACTGTGTCCTCAAACTGCGGGGAGGGCAAGCTCTCAGGATCTCTAGGTGTCTCTTCTTGTAAGGACACTAATCTTATCAGATTAGGGCCCCACCCTTACCTTACTTCCCCTTAATTACCTCCTAAAATCTCTGTCTCCAAATATAGTCATACTAGGGCTTAGGTTTCAACATAAACATTTTGGATGAACCTAATTCAGTCCATAGAACTAGTTTGATAACCTCAGATCCTGATGCCTGTGACTACTTTATATGTTTGCTGTTATTGCCTACCCCCTCCTTTGGGCTCTAATGTCACTATATTGTCCTGCTTCACCCATTTTTCTGTTTTCTGTTTATTTTTTTGAGCTAGAGTCTTGCTCAGTCACCCAGGCTGGAGTGCAGTGGTGCAATCTCGGCTCACTGCAACCTCCGACTCCCAGGTTCAAGTGATTCTCCTGCCTCAGCCTCCTGAGTAGCTGGGATTACAGGTGCCCACCACCACACCTGGCTCATTCTTGTATTTTTTAGTAGAGATGAGGTTTCACCATGTTGGCCAGGCTGGTCTCAAACTCCTGACCTCAGGTGAACTGCCAGACTCGGACTCCCGTCACCCATTTTTCTGACCACACCTCTGTTTCCATTATTGGCTCTTCTATCATTGGGAATAGCAGCATTCTTTAAAGATTACTTCCTTCTCCCTATCAAGAAAAAACAAAGCTAACACTTCTTGAATACTGATTCAGTGCTAGGTACTTTATATATTCATTCAGCAAACTAATGAATTTGTGTTGAGTACTAACATTGAGGCAAGCACTGTTCGGGACACTAAGACAATGTTTCTACTTCATGGCATTTTCATTCTTGGTAAAAAGATAAAAAAATACATAGCATGTCAGGCGGTAATGTGTGCTGTGAGGAAAAATAAAACATAGGGCCAGACAGGTGGTTTCGTTTTTCAATGGGGGGAGTTGGATATGGCCAGGGAAGGACTTTCTGATTATAGGACAATTGAGCAGAGACAAAAGAAGTGAGGGAGCAAGCCAGGTAGACAGGAAGAGGAAGAGCATTTAGGGAAGAGAAGATAAGCAGTGCAGATGCCTTGAGGTAAATGCCTTTAAGGGGTGTTTGAGGCCCGTGTGGCTGAAGCAGCCTAATGTAGTCAGGGAGGAGGACAGAGGGAAACAGGCCAGATCACAGAGACCCCAAAAGTGGAGACGATTTTACAAGGTTTTGAGATCTGACTTGCGTTTTAAAATAATCATTTTGAGTGCTGTAGTGGTGCAGCATGGTGTCGAAGCCTTTTGTAACCCTTCAGTAACAGAAGGTGATGGTGGCAGCAGTGGAATTGGTTAGAAGTGGTTGTACAGAATGTCTACAAAACAAGGCCATTGCTTGAGTACATGGTTTTCTTTTCTTTTCTTTTCTTTTTTTTTTTTTTTGAGATGGAGTTTCACTCTTGTAGCCCAGGCTGGAGTGCAATGGCACAATCTTGGCTCACTGCAACCTCTGCCTCCCAGATTCAAGCGATTCTCCTGCCTCAGCCTTCCCAGTAGCTGGGATTACAGGTGCCCGTTACCATGCCCAACTAATTTTTTTGTATTATTGGTAGAGATGGGGTTTCACCATATTGGCCAGGCTGACCTCAGATGATCCACCTGCCTCAGCCTCCGAAAGTGCTGGAATTACAGCCATGAGCCACCACACCCAGCCAAGTAGATGGTCTTTTAAGATTACTGAGTAATTTAATAAATCTGCTTCGTTTTTTTTTTTTTTGAGACGGAGTTTCGCTCTTGTTACCCAGGCTGTAGTGCAATGGCGCGATCTCGGCTCACTGCAACCTCCACCTCCTGGGTTCAGGCAATTCTCCTCCCTCAGCCTCCTGAGTAGCTGGGATTACAGGCATGTGCCACCATGCCCAGCTAATTTTTCTATTTTTAGTAGAGATGGGGTTTCACCTTGTTGACCAGGATGGTCTCGATCTCTTGACCTCGTGATCCACCCGCCTTGGTCTCCCAAAGTGCTGGGATTACAGGCTTGAGCCACCACGCTCGGCCTTAAATCTGCTTCTTGAGAGAGAACTGTGGAAAGATGACAACAGCAGCATAGTTTTTTCAATCTCCACATAAAAAACAGAGCAACTATATGGCAAAACCAAAACCCAAGGAGAACATCTGTAACAAATCCAAGTGAATTGGTGTAATCCAAGTGTGTGGGAACAAACCAATAGCAGTAACATGGCAGAAATAAGGCCCTTGTGGTATCAGCATAGAGGATCAATGAAACATCTGGAGAACGCCGAAATAGCTGAAAGGTGACCCTGGAAGGTCTAGCCAGTCACACTGAGAACAGCAGCAGAAACAGGAAGGGGTCTTTGCCTTCTCTGAAAACATGAGAGTGCAGGCGGCTCCTGTAAGGTGGGGAGGGCTGGAGTACTATAACTAATCTGCTAGGCTTCCTTCCAGGAAACAGACCTACACCGATGGCAAACCGTTGGGCATGGAAACAAAACTGAGCAAAATAGACAATAGAGAGAAAGGAAAATGGTGTTCCAGATAAAAATGGAAGACCCGGAAATCTCCAAAGTAAGCCGACTCTTAACATTAAAAAAGAAAAATCCACACCAACACTA